TTTTTTTGTGGAATCCTTCGTCCCATTGTCTTGTTTAATCTTCCTACAAAATGTCGCATCATCTCGCAAATAGATCACGCTACAGAATACTGCGAGCACTGTCAGTTTAATTATCACCGCAATTCGTGTTGTGAAACTTATCAGTGAAAGGCCACAGAAGAAGAAAGTTACAGGAGGACTGTTCTTAGACATAGCAAAAGCCTTTGACCATGTATGCCTGGACGCATTCATCTACAAACTACACAACCTGGGCTTCCCAAGTTACACTACAAACATAGTTAAATCCTACCTAACCGGTAGACACTTGTCTTTCACATCTCAAATACACTCTCAACACGTAGGGCAATCCTTGCTGGGGTCCCCCAGGGAAGTGTGCTTGGACCTACCTTATTCAATATCTACTTGAACGGCATTCCCACCACACGGAACACAACACTTGCAATGTATACAATCCTCTCACAGAGTGCATTTGTTAGCCCAGCAATACAACGACTACAAGACTACATAAACATACTCGAGACTTGGCTGACAAAATAAAAAATCAAAGTGTAGACAAGACTCGAGCAATTCTGTTCACCAAGAAGATTAAATTTAACCAAAACTCTAAACCAAGGTCTACTGAAACTTGATGCACACTTTAGTTTTTTTTAGAAATTTATCTTTTATCTTATTTCTATTCTTATAATTTTAAAAAAATGTTAAAAACATGATTTAATTATATTGAAAAAATTCTAAATGTATACTAGTTACTCATGACGGTATTCGAAATAACATATCTGTTCTACAAGGGGTAGGGTCCTTGACCTAAGCATCCTGGTGCTACACCGTTTCCCCAGTGTGTCAATAAGCCCATACAGATATTTTTCCATTAGTCATATTCACCGCAATCAGGTAACCGTAGACGTCATAATAGGGTTTCCAGCATATCAACTACTCAGGTTACCACAAATGAAACAACAATTTGCTTATAAATAAAACAGCAACTTGGCAATAATCCAAGGGTCACCCTAAAATATAGACTAATCTACTTCTGTATTAGAGAGTAATGTCCCAGAATGTAATACTAGAATCACCAATGTGAGTGTTCTTTAGGCTAGCATGTTTCATGACATAGTACAGTCAAAAGTCTTTAATCCAGACTCATCGGGACTTCGGTGATTCCGGATTATCGGTTTTTCCGGATTATAGACCATCAGTTTAAATCTGGTAAGATGGCATGCAGAAATTATAAAGTTAAAAATATGAAACCATAATTTATGAAATAAAGAGCAATTATGATCTAAAGAATATCAAAATTTACAAAAAAAAAAAAAAAAAAAAAAGGCTTAATATTTATTTGTTTATTTTATTAAACATTTCTTTCAACGCACGCATGCGTAAAGCATACATTACGAATAGTGAAATTAGAAAATTGCAACCAGAAAACTACTTGATGTGTATTTGTGATATTTATAATAACGATAAATTTGATTTAAATCATATCAAAGACGGAGTACATCAAGATGAAATACTACATTTAGTAAGGAATTATAAGCCGAATAAAATAAAAACATCTGCCCTGAAGATAAGGATAGTGCTGACAGATCAACTTCCAGTTCATTGCGCACCGCGACGTTTCACCCCTTCCCCTCAGAGCAGCGTGAAATTGATAAACAGATTTCGGAAGGGTTAGAGAAACAAAGGATATGCCTTTATCCATTTTTTGCGGCAATTCCACGTTTTGTTTGATGGACATTGGAACATGCTTTCGCTTTGTAGATCCTTTGGCAGCTCCAGAATTGGAAATTCTTTTTGACATAATCGAAAGTTCAAGTTTACTTTTATAAAATTGCTCTAACAGTCTGCAAAAAATAATAAGCCGGATCCAATTAGGAGATTAAGGAACAACAACAGTCTGCAACATTAACTGAAATAGATAATTAGATAATTTTAGCTTAGCTTATACCATCCGTTATACATTAAACGTGCATGCGTAAATGCATATGCACATGCGTAAAGGTATTATGCGCTTGCATAAACACTATGCATGCACAAAAAGTTTGTAGCTTTGAGGTCCGGATTATGGACGTACGAATTAAAGACTTTTGACTGTACTGTTTGTTTGATACTTGGCTTTTCTAATGGCCTTGGCTAGAATATTTATTTGGTGCATTTCTCCATTGCCAGAGAACAAACGTTTACAGTTCCCGATCTGCATCTTGTCTTGTAGCTTTTAAAATATTGGTTCTATTTTCAATCTACCTTCAATTGGAAAAGTTGCTATAGTTTTTTCCCAATGAAAATGTAGGTTGCCAAGTATGAGAACTTTTGAAAATGGTCATAATATGAAATTATACAATGAAAAAGAAAGCATTTGATAAGGCAGCATGCCTGCTATGATAATTTTTTGAAGCATCATTACAGCACTTGCGAAACTGTGGCCAGCAGGAAGAGTTTGAAAAAATGAATTTTTTCCCTATTTATGTGTTTTTTAAATAAATTGTTAAAAAATTTTATTAAATAAAATAAGAAAATGAATTTTACAATTTTATTTAATTAAATTCTGCAGTAAATTACAAAATTATTAAATACTATATTAAATGCAAACTTATTTAAAATTATTTCCACAAGTATAAGTTAAATAAGTTTTAGTGTATTGATGTTGAGTGAAATACTCTTTACTGTAGTCAGTTTTGTTTTTGTCCATGCCTACAATCTTTGTTAACAAATCGCAGTTTCTTAAATTTGAATTGCGTCAATGCCATTTTCTATCAGCAGGCTGCTGCAGAAGACAAATATAAATTATTTTTCATCTTTGTTATCTCATTTGTCTTTCAAATTTAATATATCTATTCTTGATTAACAAACTTAAGCTTTTTAAAAGTAGTAGATGCAGTTTTTAAGAATATTTTTTTTTAATTGGATAGATTTAAATAAAAGTTCATTTAATTCATGATATAGCTAATTAAAAACATTAAATATTTTTATAGAATTGCATTGCATATTTTTTCTATTATATAGAAGATATTATTAGTTCCCATCTTACTCTAATTGTATATATTTATCTAGTATACTATAAAATGTTTCACTATTTCACCTGTACCATCTCTATTGATAATCTTTACTGATAAACCATATTAAACTTTAAGAAAACCCTTTTGGGCAACCATTAAAATTTTAAGCCTTTCTGATTAAAAAAAAATTTTTCCCTCGTTATGCATTATATGTTTGCTAAATAGCTGTAAATAAACTAAATAGCTTTCATTTCTGATAAATTGCAATTTCATAAGCAAAATGAAAGGCTACCATAGTATAATTTTTATTTAATCTTTATTTTATAATTTGGTAACACGATAAACATAAATGGTAAAATTTAAGTAATAGTTAAAGCATGGTCAGTAGATACGTTAATGTTTTTCTACTCATTAATGTTAATCATAATGTCATGTGAAAGGATTTCGAAATTTTGTCATCTGTTTCATGAATTAAAGTTTAACAAATTGGAAATTAAAGCATGCATTTTAATATTACAATTTTGAGTCACGAAATGATAACTATATGTAGTATAGAAATACACTGCCCTTCAAAAATTAAGGAACAGCATGTTTTTGAAGGCTGACCATTACAAAAATGTCAGTAACCTTTAAATTCACAGTTTATATGAATTTTAGTAATGAAGTTTTAAGAAAATACATGCAAAAACAGTAACTACCCCTTTTATTTTATAGAAAGGAATACTTATATGGGAATTGGAAAATAATGGCAAAAAAATTGTGAGTTTTGTTCATGAGTGTTGATCTTTAATTGCTATTAGCAGTTCCATTGACAGCATCCAGGAGAGTCTATCAATGTCCAGGAGAAGTCGTTTGCCCAATTGGTTGAGGTGGTGGGTGATCGGATGGATGTCACAAGCTGATGCTGCTAGACATCTCAATGTCTCTCGTAGTGTGGTCTAACAACTATGGAATTAATTTGAATCAGAGGATTCTGTGTCTAGAAGACATGTTCCAGGTAAACCTAGAGTTACAATCCCTGCAGTAGACCATTATTTAGCTCTTTTGGCTGGAATTAGGAGTAACATTACTGTGTTAACATTATCTCAGCTACTACAGTATGCAGACACCTGCTCAATACAGATCTGTATGTAAGACACCCAGTTATTTGTGTCCTGTTGAATCGAGGACACAGAGGTGCCCGTTTATGTCGGGCAAGAGAAGATGTCTCCTGGATCAGTCAACAGTGGGCATCTGTTCTCTTCACAGTTTCCAGTTTCACATAGGAAAGTGATTCAGGTCGTCAGTTGATCTGGAGGGAACAACAGATACAACCAATCCCACATTGTAGAAAGACACAGTTACAGAGGTGGTGGAATAATGGTTTGAGCTGAGATCTCTCTCAGTGGTCACACTGACCTACATGTGTTCCATGGAGGAACTTAGATCGGTGTGAGATATTGAGACGAGGTCCTTGATCAACATGTCCCCCATATACCACCACTGTTGGTCCTGGATTTCTTCTGATGGATGACAATGCGGGACCACACTGAGCTCGGGTTGCTGAAGAATATCTTGAGAGTTATGGTATGGTGTAGATGGAATGGCGAGCTCAATCTCCAGACCTGAATCCGTTAGAGCATCTTTCAAAGCAAACTCTACAGCTCCATTTAATTAATTGTGACAAAAGCAAGTGTATTTAATGAAAACAGTACTAATTTGAATTTGAAAATTGCAAATTCAGATGTGCTATATGAGTATCTTGGTTGCCATATAAATACATTTTGGTAACATCATGGGTTTCCCACATAAATACTTTATATCAACATAATGTATTTTCTCATCAGTACTTTTTGAAGCTTTTCAGTAGGTCTGTGGATAATCAGAAGATGCCAAATTGTCATCTAATTTTCTTTAAACTAAAAATAGAACAACTTTTGTTTTTAAAAATAAAAAAGCAACAGGAAAAAGAAAATTAATTTTTCATAAACTTTATAATGTTTCTTTTTGCTTTATTTTCAGTTATATAAAGCATGAGACGCTCTTGTGAATCAAATGCATCAAATGATAACATCATGGCTAAAAAGGCAAGAGTAACAATGACTCTAACTAATGATTTGTCATCTGTTGCTCTAGAAACTATTCACATGTCTAGTCCTGGACTCGATCTGCAGTCTGATTGCTCAACAGAAATTGTCCAAGCTGAAAATGATTCTCAAATAGCACATGATGAAGACAGGTTTGTTTTATACTATCCTTATGCTAGTTATATAAAAAGTATTTAAAGATATATAGTGGATAACTTTTCTGTATAATTTGTCTTAATTCTGGATATCTGCATTGTATACTTATAATTTTTATTTCTAGAAATTTATAAAAGCATCTAAATGTTAGTATTGTTACAAAATGCACAGCTGCAGGGAGCTAGCTTACCCTCAAAGCCGGGTTAGGATATCCAGATTCGCTCCGTAATTGCCTGTTTGGCGATGAAATTGACGATATGCCATAAACGGAGCAAAGTTATATATACCTTGCCTGTACATTGAGTAGCAGTGTATTGTGAGGAGTATCAGTGTATTGTGAGGAGTATCTAGCATATGTTGAATTCAGTAGTAGTTTTGAGATTAACTGGAGAGTGACCAAACCGAGTTAGGAGAATTGTTTTTTGGCTTGAAGCTGTCTTTATCGTTGTAGCCTGAAGTCTATGTTGCTGGTTGTTTCAGCATGTTCATCGTAGTTTTTTTATGTCTTTGTGTTTTAAACATGTCTTTGGAACTGTCCTGTGTACTGATGAATAAATTGTATTTTGATTCTTCATTAAGTGTTGTCATCAAACACTCTAAATCCACAAATGCATAGAATGTAACAATTGGTGTCAGAAGTGAGATTTGCAAGTGAATGCTAGTGACTCGCCTACAGAAGAAAGCCATGGCTGAGGAAATGAAGGATTTGATTTGCTTGTTTACAGCTGTAAAAGCTGAATGGGAAGAGATGAAGGCTGAGATGAAAGTCAGATAAGGAGAGTTAGTGAGCAAAATAAAATCATGTGAAGAAATAAAAGCCAGACAAGAAAAGCTGCAAAAGCAACTGCAACAGACGGAAGTGAAGCAAAAGAAGTTTAGAAGTGACATCTTGAGTTTAGAGGGAAAATTGGAACAAATTAAAACATGTAATGTAAAAATGATGGTAATAGCATCTGAAAAATCAAAGGATGAAGAAATGAAGGGAAGTAGCTAATGAACTGTCTGAGAAAGATCAAGAAATGAAGGATGAACCATCTAATGAGATTGAAGGAAGAGTATAAAAAAATGAAGAAATGAAAGACCAGAAGGAAACTTTTGATTCTCATGTGCCTGAAGTTGTAATGGAAGAAAGTGATAATACTGTTTGTAAAAATAAAGAAATAAAAGAAGAGACTAGTAAAGCATCTGAAAAAGGTGAAGAAATAATTCATGGAAACAAAGTTCCTGATTCTCAAATACTTGAAGACAGTGAAAATGTGACTGTTAAGTTGGTAGAAACTGATAGTGAAGTTACAAAGTTGCAGTTAGCAAGTATTGAACCATCTGAGAATTCGTATGATGCAGAGATGGGAGAAGCTGATGTACAGCTTATGCAGAGCATTCTGTTATTGTATATAGCTTGTAAATAGTTTAAATATTTGTTTCTTTATTCATCTTATTTATTGGTTTTATTATCTTTTGTTTCTATAGAATTTGTCTTCTGACTAAGGGTTGTACTAATTGGGATGTGCAGTCCTTATTCCAAGATGGGTGGCAAAAATGGAACTATGTGCTAATTCCAACACTTGTACTCTTCTACTAAGCGGAAGCACTAACTGAAAAACAGTCTGACCTAATATTTTTTCTTGGTGATGTAAAAGATGATCAATAAAGAAATAATTTCCTTTTTTTTTTTTTTTTTTTCTACAGCTAGCTTCCATGCTTCTCTCAGCGAGGCACAGTTAGCTTGCTCTTCGCATAGGCTTTCAGCAGACGACAAGTCTGTGTTTATGTAAGCACTCGCCTTCTCCCCTTCTTCCTCTTTGTTTTTTTTCTCCAAAAGCATTAGTGGGGGAGGGACTGGACGCTATCGTTTGACTGAGCATTGGCAAATAAACTTTTCACGTTTTTGCTTCCTTAATTATTTCTTTCTGCGCTTAATTCTTCTGCTGCAGGATTAATCAACAGTTCGTATATTTCTGGAGTTATTAGGCAAGGCACATTTAGCTTATCAGTCACTGCAATTAATGTATACACAAAATTAAATATATTGCTTCCATGATTTTTATGGTAAGTAGGTAAACTTTTGCTTCAATTGGTTGTCCGAAAGCAGCTGTTAGCAATATTTTACTTCCTTTTCTCTCTTCTAAATCTCGAATAAGCGATGAATGTACGATCGTTATCTGCGTTCCAGAGTCTAAGATAGCTTCGATTTTCTCAGAGTTAATAAAACGTTTTACTTTTTGCAGTGGTTGAACGATGTGTTCTGCGAATTCAGATCGTAGATGGGATGAGTCTACTTTAGCTACAATGGCTTCTTCTTTTGATGTTCTGTTTCAATTTTTTTGAGTTTTGGAATCATCCTTTCCCCTCTTATTTACTACAGTTTCGTTCTTTCTTTTATCTGGGCAATCTCTTGCGATGTGTTGATAGTTTCCACAAATATAACATTCTTTTCTTCTCGCGCGAGATCCTTCTTGTTTCGAATATTCTCTTCTTAAGTGTGGCGATATATATTTATCTTGTGTACTTGTTGTATCCAGGAATCTCAGTGATCGTTTAATTCCATTTCGAAATTCGTCAAAAGATTTTCCTTTGGCCGGGAAATAAATATCACATTCTTTAGCTAATTCTTACGGCTTCAGCCATTTATTTCCTTGGCGTATTGTGACGTGTGCACAGGGTTCGTAGTGGTCCTTACAAATGCTTATAAGTCCTTATATTTGAAAATAAAATATGAAGGCCCTTATAGGTGCTTACTTTTACTTAAAGCCCTTATTTTTTTGTTTTTAGTGTTTATTTTTTGCTTTTAGTGCTTTTTTTTAATCCTTTGTTTTTATTGAACGCGCATTTTTTCCCCGTACCAAAGCCGAAACTAAATAAACAACTTTTCTTCTTTATATGCAACATCGGATGGGGAACCATACTCCCAAAAATTGCTTTTCCCCCTCTTTCTCTGCATTAACGTAACCTATGGTGCGCACTAGAGTACAGACAGGTGCACGTCATTTTATTGGTCAAAAATTGCGAAAACGGTAGAAAATTCTGGTACATTCGGTATTCTTTTCCTCCCACTCAAATACTATACACGTTTGAATTTCTATCTAGATTTTAATAATTTGCATTCTCGTTCCGCGTGGTCAGTTCATATTCATGTTTATTATGATTGTTATGCTTATATTATGAGCATATGTATGAATATTTATAATAATATAGTTGCAGTAACTGCTGAAGTATAGATAAACTTCCAAAAATGGGTGTGTTTTTACACAGATTAGCTTTCTAAGGAATAATATTCGGAATGGCTTAAATAAAAAGAAAGTAATCGAATAGTCAAAATAATTTCATTTTTTTTTAAATACATTATACAGCACGGAGGTTGGGAGGTTCTCCCCTTTCTCCGCAAAATCTCTAATATTGAAGCAGTGGCCGTTTTTTTTTTTTTGTCACTGTCCAACCTGGTTTGAATAGGAATAAAAGTTTTTGTGGTCTACCCAGCCCAAGCGAAGATTGATTCTATTCCGGAAATTTAACGCAGTCTGTTGAAAATTAGAATCAGAAACACCCCAGATTAATAAGTCTCTTTCTTTTCTTTTATTTAGTTCTTTATTCTCCAAATACCCGCAGATGTTGATTCCGATTGCGTAATATGACATATGGAAAAATTACGCCGCACGTGTTGCGCAATAATGTTTGCGGTATTTTGCAGAGATAATTAATTTTGATGTTCAGTCTGAGATTTGTTTATGAACACTTAAAAGAGTTTTACTGTGCTTTCTAAGCAGAATATTTCTCAGTTCTGTTGCTCTATTTTTATATGATGCACATATCGAAATGTCAAAATCATTTATTTATCCTAAATTTAAATCTAAAGAACGGCTACAATCTCCCCCCACTCCTCTTTTTCCAGTTACTATATGGAATATTCGGCAATTTCCGAGTATGCGGATTAGTTAAGCTTTTACTTTTAAAGGATGACTGCATGAAGCAATTTCCCGTCATCTGATTTCAGAAATGTGCCTCTTTTTTACTTAAATTACTTTGCTTGGAATATATGTTAAGGGAAAACTGTTATGCAATGAAAATTTAGAAAATGTTCAGAATTTTGATTTAAGTTAATTTGTTTAAATATTAATATGAATGGAAAAATAAATTGTATTTATTATTATGTGCCAAACGAATACAATTAATATGGCTTATTATTATTTATTTTCTATATTTTCAACTGAAATATCATCATTAAATTTTGTAATAAAGTTTAGTTCTGCATAATTTTTTTTCCTCTCATTGTAAACTAATTCTGTAAATTGAACTGTCATTTAAAATAAAAAAAAAAAAAAAAAAGTTAATTGTTTTCCATTGTTGAGGTAATGCTCATTCTCTTAATAAATATTGCATTGCTCATATTTTAAATTACAAGTCTAATTTTTCTTTTAAGGTTATGCAGTTGTGTATAATGTAATTAGATAGGTACTTATTTTTTCCTTAAAATGTACTTGAAAAGTGCTTATAGGTGTTATTTTTTTAACTAAAATGTGGCTACGAACCCTGGTGCAGCTGTTTCTTCATCTAAAGCTTGGAATAAGTTATTCGAAATAATTAACTCCTTGAGTGTTTCGAAATCCTTTACTTCTCTTGACTTGCAGTAATAGTCCAATGTAGCTGTTAATCGTTGAAGCGAACTGGATATTGCGTTTCGCCGTAATAACATTTAGTTCTTCTGAAGTTTTCTAAACAGGTTTGAGGAGTAGGTTACTATTCCTTCAGAACAAGAGTTTTCACTTTTTCGTAATTTTGCAGATGTTCCCTTTTTTATATAAACAAGAACATTTGAAGCCTTTTTCTCCAATTAATTTCAATAATATTTCTGATTTGTATTCTTGAGGAATCTTCTTGTGCTTAAATGCTCATTTGATGGAATCGAAAAATATATTCCATGCTTCTGCTCTCTTTGGTACTGGTATAGTCAGTGTTTCTACTCCCTTGATTAGCTTGCCAAGGGAAATTTCGGTTTCTC